AAAATGAGCAATTGTAAGCACGAGTCATGACGTCATGAATGCCTTTCATGAGCGCTTATAACGCTAAAGGGAACGGTATAAGCGAAACTTATAAGCGCTTACAGCGCGTGAGCGTCCAAAAGGAACGCAGCCTAATTTTTTTTCTCTGCTGAACGCAGCCATGCAAGAGCTTACTGAGCGCTCATCCTATTGCATCCTACATTTCAATGGTGGGACTAATTAGTATAAAGTTTTGTAAGTCTCCCACATAAAATTTAGTCCCGGAACTTTGTGAATGCACTGTGTATATAACAAAAAGTATAAATTTATAAAAACATTTTTTTTATATGAAACATACCGATAATATATCTATTCGCGTAGAGAATTGAGGGATAATTTATAGCGTTAATCTTTGGTGCACTATGTACAGCAGCGATATTAAATATTCCTCTGCTGGAATGAGCTCTGATATCGTATACTGCTATTTCATTTTGCTGTCCACCACGCAAGCTGATAACTTTCGTGCTCGGCGGCGGCGTTAATTCATATACGTGATTCGTATTGTTGCCCGATATATCAATATAAATATTACTCAGAGTCGCGAGCGGACATGCGCCTTTAAGTCCCATTCCAAAGAATTTTCGTATCGACCAATCCTGTGCAAATATTGAAGAATAATCGTGAGAATAATCGGCAACAATACAATCTGTAATAACCATTTCATGTTGACCGACTCACCTGATTCGTATCTGTCATTGTATCGTATATCAAGGAAACAGTCTCTCGCAGTTCTAAGGATGTCCCTGTGCAGGCTGCGTTACGACATATCGATCGAAAATGTATTCCGATGGAGTGATAATTTGTATTATGGATATGCGCAGAATTTAACAATGTAGCTAGACCTCTCTAGAAGACGAGGCAAACGGTTGAGTTTCTAGGCAATGAATGAATGAATGCAGATGTAAAAATATGATATAATTTGCGAGTACCTTGGAGTCGCAAGGCAACAATTTTTTAAATGGTGTTAGATTCTCGGTGCAAACTATCTCCCTCGGCAATGACGAATAACGCAAATGGCTGGAATTCACTGGTCCATCTGTAACGCCAGTGGGACGGAAGGTAAACTTTGGCGACATACTATTAGAGGCGTCAACAAAATTCAAAGATGCGCAGAGCAATCCAGCTAAGGCGTTCGTCAAACCTTTCCATTCTTCGTCTACACTGGAAAGGAAAACTTTACATGCTATTATGCTTTTTATATAATCTTATTTTTTACGTAATTGAATTTGTGATATGAATAATCAAATTTTTCAGTTTGATCTACGTTTTTCCAAATTAAATGCATCAGAATTATCTTTGAGCCACAGCTAGATATGAAAAAAAAATTCAATTCATATGATTGCTAATCTCATCTCAGATTCAATTACTTTATAACACTTCTGTTACTTATGATACCGTACTTGTGGTGCCATAGTTATGGTATTGTACTTGTGGTACCATACTTGTGATACCATACTTATGGTACCATACTTGTGGTAGCATACTTATTATACCATAAACAATGGCTTGGTACAAAAGAAGTATTTCAGGACTTGATCTCACTTTGTTATATCTCTGTTAAACCAGGCAGTGACTTCAGCACCAGGTCCAGCATCATGGAAAGGATATCCCCATTTTTGATAATTCCACAAACCTTCTGTTAGAGTAACATGCAGTTCGTCGACATTGTGACGGCCAATGATCTCGCCTAATCCTCTCGGAAAGAGATGGGAATGTTGAACTAAAATTATTGTCATTTTTTTAATCACAATTCGCTCGAGCTTGTCCATCAAAAAGTAATTTCACTTATTAATAATTAACATTATATCACTTTTTATAAGAGTAATATAATACCTCATGCCATAAATTTTACTCCTAAACAATATTTCATAACTAAAGCAACATGAAATGTATGCTTGTTTTATTAAATTGACTCGTTATAACGTAAAAATAATTATCATTATTAAAAATATCCACCTTTTGACAAGTTTTTCAAATGGTCAAACTTCAAAATGCAGCATGTAAAATCTTGATGCTGCTTCATTAAATCAGTCTTCAATCTTGATATTTCGATGAGACTTAGAACAAACCTTTTCATTCAAATGTTAGAGAAAAGAGCTTCGAAATTTCACCGAAATATAAAAAGTTGAAAGTTGGTCTAAAGGCTCTAAAGATTAATTTGGTAAAAACAATCTTAGTCGATATTTATTGAATAATTTTGTGTGCTGCGAGTGTTTAAAACCTGACTGTGTGAAAAAATTTATGAAGACAAAAGATATTGTAATAAGTTGAACTAGACCACTAAGTGACTAACACAATTAAATCGAGAACACCTTTAATGATCAAGGTTGGATCTTGGTGCTTAATAATAGTTTTCTTTAAATTCTAATAACAAAATATAGATATTTTTAATAAATACAATTTTTATTTTGCAATTAGTAAATTCATAAAATGAATGTTTATTTCATGCTGCTTTATTATTTTAATTATGGAATAAATCCATTTTTTTTTTAGGAACAGAACTTGTGGCATAATTATGTAGTATACATATATCTTCTAATAAAATAATATATTAAAGTAAAATTAAGTATTGATTAATAATAATTCTGTTATCATCGTATCGTAAATAAATATATATTAAATATATAGAATTTTTTATAAACAGCTCAAACTTGTCGTTTTCGAGTACTCACGTGTTTCCATACGATTTATCGTTTCCCATATTGTGGTAAATTGAAAGTAGGCGTAGACATGATTGCTCGATAGGGGCTTCAGCATCAATTCCTCGTCAAAGAAATCGTTGTACGCATTATTACACGTCCCGACACCGAACCAGAAGCCGGTAAGCAGGACGAGTACATGTGAGGTTATCATGTCGCTTCGAGGTTAGGTCGCGTCGACCGATCGATCACACGTCGCACCAATTGTTACACCTTCTCGCGCGGCAAGTATTCATCGTATTCATATACGGCCTGTACGAACGTGCACTGTCAGTTGAATTGTCGCACTGGAAATTGTCAAATGCATCGAGTATACAACCCACCGTTATTTCACCTGTGCCACACAGCATCAGTCGGCTGTCAGCAACTGTCAGCAACTGTCAGCGCATGGAGGACTGGAGAGAGTAGAGACAGAGAGGATCCTCTCTGGTAGAGAGCCTCTAATCAGAGTGGCGCCATATGAGAAGCGACGCCATTTTCTTGCCAAATCGCGCGACAGAGAGAGATATAATATATCTTCGTTTATCCAACAGAGTGCTGCTGTGAGCTGTCAGCTGTAGG